ACTTCCAGGGATGGGGCATCCACAGCTTTTCTGAGCAACCTCAGATATGCCTCACCACCCTCACAGTAAAGAATTTCTTCCTAATATCTCATCTAAACTCTCTTTAAGTTTGAAGTCATGACATAAATGGCATAGGTAATTTAGCTGTGGGGAAGACTAAGGTTTATGAAAATACATTTTCCTAAATTCCCCATACAGTTTCCTAGACTAAGTCTGGTATGTCTTGTAAATGCTGGATGTGGTGAACAGTGTTGTAATTCAGGGGTTCTTCAAACTGATTCTTGTCCATTTTGATTTCACCTTCAGATTGTCCTGGAGAACAGCAGTCGAGAAGACAAGCATGAGTGCCCATTTGGCCGAAGCAGCATTGAGCTGACAAAGATGCTGTGTGAAATTCTCAAAGTAGGAGAGCTACGTAAGTTGATCTGTTTGACCTCTAAGAACTGTGGAGTGAGTTCAGTGATACATGAGTTTTTTCAATGCAAGAATTATCTTCCAAGAAGCGTTTCTTGGTATAGTTACACATAGTACACTGACACTCAGAATGACTACGTCTGTTTTCTCTCTCTCTTACTAGTTTGTGGCATCATAAGGATGAGAGTGGAATAGGGGAAATGGGCACCTATTCTTTGACTGCCTTCTGTAAGAAGCAGGGCAGTTGCATAATTTCTAGAGGAGTCACTTCCCATTGGTTGATTTGGTACAGGAGACTTCATGGTTGGTACATTTCAAGACCTTGTTCATAGGTTGGTTTTATATAAGTATCATGGTCATTCTTTGTGAGACTGCTCATCTAAACTGACACATCCCATTTTCTCGTAGATATCTGAACCTCTATCTAAATATCAGATGATGTATAATTTACTCTGAAAGTGTGATATAAAATAGTTGTATTTTAATACAGAGTAAACAAGCCGTCTTTGGCTTCAATTAGAGTCCCTTAACAAATTGTTAGATACTATAAAACAGAAGAGCATGTCTGTATCTTCATTAGTCTAGAGTATTGGTGTTTATCAATATGTATAAATTTCAGTTACCCATCAATAATATTTTGGATCCAACTGCAGTCTGTTTTGGCAAGCTCTACCAACAAGTTTCATTTTCTCCTTGCAGAAGCGAGGGGCACAGCTGAAATGCTTTGCTTCCCTCAGAGACATCTTTCTTTTGAATTTTTTTCCCTAATAAAGATATTTTTCTCTTATCTTTACACCTAAGTCCCTGAAATGTAATGAGAGAAGAGTATTGTAAAAGGAAGCAAGAGAGCCTGTAGGTATTGTTCCTACTAGCTCTGCAACAGGCATCAAAAGCTGTTTTTAAAGTATGATTTGGCTGTTGATACACTTCAAGCTTTTAAGTGTAATGTCTTGAAAGAATTTATTGACCAAAGAAAAAATATGTCTCTGTGCAATGGGCCAGGATAAAACCTGTGCATTTCTTGCAGCTTCCAAACTGATATTTGTCTTTGACAGACTCAGATAAATGAGACAATATTGGCTTTAGAATACCATCCTAAGTAAACCAGAATTATTAAGGACTGCATTCACTATGTCTATAAATAAAGAGTTTAGCAACTATTTTAGATGTTTGGCAATGATAGTGTGTTGTATAAGGTTCAGACTGTAGCAGACACAACTCTTTAAAATAACCTTACTGCTGCAGTTGAGGTGTCTAATGCCAAACCACGCATGACAGATCTGTCTGAATTTTTCTGCTGGTAAATGTAGGCGGGATATATGATCTCAACAAAGCTGTAAGCCTACTTGAAATAAGTGCTAAAGATCAATTTTATTTTTACAAATGCACAGAAGAATATCTAAAATCCAAAGAACAGTTTTGTACATGGTGTTTTCATGCATGTCCCATCCCTGCATGGGACTTTCACTGGAATTTGTTGCTAAGAAAGACGATTGATCTTGAGGTTAGCCAGGTGTGTTAGATTTCCTCCTTGCAGTGTCATAAGTATCTGATAAATAAACTTCGTTTTTTCTGCCACAGAAAGGTTTGTCATCTATATGTGCAGGGGGATGTATGTAGATGATTTTCTATGTATGATACTGTTTGTCCTGATTGCTTCTAACTTCTGCAGATAGGTCCTTTCATACTCTTTCATGTTTTAACTTTTTCTTTTTTTTTTTTCTTCAAGTGGGGACTGTGAATAAAATAAGAGGATTTGGGGTAGGAGATAAGTTACCACATGTAGAAAATACCTTAGTTTTAAAAACAAAATGAATTGTCATATTTTAAAATCTGTTTTTTGTTTTGTGGTTTGGTTGTTTGGTTTTTTTTTTGTTGTTTGTTTTGTTTGCGGAGGGAGTTGTTTGTGGTTTTTAATTTGTTTTGTTTTTTATTTTTGTTAGAGTAGGTCTGTGATTTGGAAGTGTGGGGTTAGAAAGAAAAAAGTTCCCTGAGGATAGCTCTGGCTAAGGGATGTTACCTGCTAATATTCTGAAGCCACTTTTTTTGTTGTTACTGAAGCTGCAAGTCTCTGGCATGCTTGGTGTGCTGATGTGCAGCAGGCTCCCATGGCGGTTATTTATAGATGTGGGATGTTGTAAATATTATGATGCTAAGAAGAAGTGCTTCCGTTGATAGAAACCAGATGTAGCATGACTGACTTCTGTAAAGTCATGCTGATCTACATCGATAGAACGTCTGTCTCTGGATGCAGAAATAGGTCTGTGTCATGGCCTTATATTCACAGGGAACAGAGCTAAGGTTACTTTTGACTCATCTTGACAATTCGCCTGTTTGCCAGTGTGCTTCCTTAATGGTTTTGTTTATGTGGAACTCTAATTGTCATTTTTAAAGGCTGTAATAAAATACACCTCTAAAATAATGTGCAGAAAATAGATTTCTTTAAATGACCTGCGAAACACCTCCCATCAAAACAATCAGATATAAACATTGGCAGTTGAACATGTGTGTCCTGCTCAAAAATACATGAAATCTGATACGCCTTAACTACAGAAGAACTTCAGGAATGTAGGTGTGCTGCATTCATTCTTACCTATCCACCTTTTTGTCGTCCTGCCCAAACCATCACCACAACAGGTAACTCCTGTTCACAGCAAAAATTAAACGGATCATGACTAAAGGCTAGAAGATAAGCAACATTGGAAAACTGGTTCATAGTAGGAAAGGGGGTGGCAGGAATATTTCCTTTGGAAACTTTGCTTGCAAATTAGCCATTCCTGACTTTATATATACTAAATATGCTTGTCCTTCTTGATGCAAAACTAACTTGCTGAGTAGTCTAAGCTGTACTTTTGTTTTGTTTGAAAGCAGAATATTATTTTATTGAATGGTCCTCTCTGTTTGCTAGCACAATCCAAAAGCAGAGACAAAATGAAGCTTTCTTTTTCTAGGGAGATAATAATTTCTGTGCAATTAACCTCTTCTTGCTCTATAAAGACTAAATCTCCTCATGGTTATAACAAAGTGTGAAGTCTCTAGAAAACTTATACTGTAATTTGTAAGAATATGAGCAACAGAGCTGCTGAGACTTTCTAAGTAAGATGTTTGACTTTTACCTCTGAGTGACAGTGACAGATTTAAGAATGTTATTTTCTACACATGGTACTGATGGCTTCAAAGCTGGTACAGTGTTGGCTGCTGGGTCAGTTAGCTGGAAATGCTGGCCTGGCCGCTATCCTCTAATGTTTTTACCTACTGTCTGCCCTATATCTGCTCTTTGATCTCTTTGGATCATAACTTGTTTTGTAAATGTGAAGTGCTTAATTTTATTGAGGTCCTGGTGCATGCTTCTTTAGCTTCTTTAAAATTGCATTTATTCCGTTTTCAATATTATTATTAATATTAAACAGCATGGTGCAGGGAGAGCAACTCAAAAAACACTTAGGGGCAAGAAAGAGATGTGGGTGGGGGGATTTTTTTTTTTTAGAAACTGATTAAAAAAAAGACAACAAAGGCAGTTTGATTATGACTGAAGATCCCTTTTTTCTGGTATTGAAACTGGTAGCAGGAATCAAGACTAGAAAGTGAAAAACTTTCAATAATAATACATTCAAACTGGGAGTAAAATGTAGGCATTAGCTGTAAGGGTGCTGAACTAGGGAACTAGTGGAACAGAAAGCTGAAGAATGATGAGAGGAGAAAAAAGAAGTCATGATGTTGATTTCCTGCAGTTACTGGAAGTTGTAGCTTTGGCAAATTTGATTGTATGATAGAATAAGAACTATAATTCGTTTCAATATGATTATTGGAACCCAATTCTAGGATTTTTTAATTTTTAAAATAGGCTACAGACCACAATGTAGCAACTTAAAAGTCTGGGCAGATGTGACAATAAACAAGGAATGTTAAAGTAATTTGGATTATTGCCATAGAGATAAGTTTCCATAGATTAAAATATTTTTATTATTAATTTCCATAGGGAAAAAAAATAAAATCTCAAAAATATCTCCCATTTCAAAAACTCTGCATCTCTTCTGGGCTTGTAGAGCTTTGTTAGCTGTTCTGGTGTATTCCAGAGTACTTCTTGGTTTCCGTAGAACATAAAAATACAGCAAACTTCTTTCTTGAAATGCCAAACCTTGGAACAGACTGCCCAGGAAGTGGTTGATTCACCATTTCTAGAAGTATTTAAAAGATGGGTAATTGTGGCACTTTGGGACATGGTTTAGTCATGGTTTAGCAATGTCAGATTTACAGTTGGACTTGATTATCTTAGAGGTGTTTCTGGCCTAAATGATTCTGTGATTCTAATCGCTCCTTGAAGAAGAAAGTAGACAAAATCTTGTAATAAAATCAGGGGTTTAAAGTTCACTTGGAACTTTTATGTTGTAATAAAATTCACTTGGCTTAAAGTTCACAGAGGAAAGGAGCTTCAGGGAACTGAGATGTTTGCTGCTTTTCTGGAGCAATTTCTGTACATTTTAAGGGCTAATCATTGTTCACAGACATTTTAATTCTAAGCAAGTTGAATTTAAGAGGAAAATAATATTTGAATCAATTTTTTACCTAATTTCATTTTATAATAATATTTTGTAAATATAGATTCACTAAAAGGAGCCGTAATCTCTTGTATTTTGTAGCAAGCTATGCTTCAAATCTGAAGTTAGCTCTTATGGTTTCACAGCACTCCTGTTCATCAGACTGGAAATATTGCAGATGCTCCTTTTTGAAGAGTAAAGTTGCTTAATGAATTGTACACAGAATTGAACAAGGTATAAAAGGCCAAATTTTTTTTAATGGCAAATTTTAGTGTATATTAATGTTGTTTTGTGTATTCCAGAAATGTTTATGTTGGCAAAGGGTTTTCAGGGTTAAAGATAAGATGTGCTGCAAGTAAAGAGGTGCATCTCTTCCAGAGAAAGGCAGAATGATTTTGGGAGTTGAGGACAATTGCATTAGCAGGCTCTCTGATGAAATGAGCATTAACTACTGATTCTTTTAGTTCCCAAGACAAGGCTGGACTTGCAAAGGCCCCAGTAGTGTGTAGTATTCTGGGAAATGCGCAAGGCCTTGCAAAGAATACTCCCTTCACTGAGCAGCTGAATATCCTTTAACAGTCCTTTACTGGATTAGCTTTGAGGTAGTCAATGTATCATTAACTGTCTCTGGTTATCACTGCACATGAAGCTTCATGGATGCTTGCAAGGCACTGGAGGCACTTCTGGGTTGCTGCTGACTGTATAGTCAGGTCCTCTGTAAGAAAGCTTTAGTCTCGCAGACTTTTAAACTTTGTTTATTCTAAGAAAAATAGATACCTTTTAAAACTCTCAATCTACAAGGAGACCTTCTGAGCTCTGCAAGTATTTCAAATTCAAATTGCCAGGCATGTGAGAGAGAAGACTGGACAGAATGCAATGGTGCAGTACTCACCAGGGGTAAGGCAGGCACTGAGTACAGCTTTGACACATTTTTCTGAAGCTTTCTCTGGTTAACACACACTGCTTCTGGAGCCACACATTGTGCACAGTAAACACACTGGTTATGTTTATTTAGGCTGCCAAAAAACTCTTGGTTCTGTTGCTTGGTGGATCAGAGATGATGTGAGTGTTCTTGGGGAAAAAAACCCCCACAACCAAACATTAAACCAGAGACTAGTTAAGTTTTGTCATATAATTATGTTTTGACACCACCTAATACTGTGGAATACTACTTTAAACTTATTGATCATATACCCACTTGAAACTGGTAGTAGAATTGTTTTAATGGAGAAGTTATACTTAGCCATCAATCATTCCTAATCTCTTAAAAAGGGCATGTGCTTGATTCTTTTTCTTTGCAAGAGTGTTTTCTCAGAGGTGAGCAAAACAATGAAAACAAAGTAATTAGAGCCCGAGATCTTAATATATTTTCTGTAAATTATTGTGCTGGTTTTGAATACATGGCATTTAGTGAGGAAGGAAGGAGACACTCATGGAAATAATAATAATAATAAAAAAAGCTGCTGACAGCTTCCTCTATGTCTGAGAAAAACCAATCAGGAATTAACTTTTAGAACTGACAACCTATTAAACCACTGAGAAGGCTGAACACTTCTCTGTGAACACGCAGTTTAAAACGAACAAAGCCCGGGAAACCAGCTTCTTTCTTCCGCTCGAATACACGTAACAGGCTCCGTGGGTCGGGAGGCTGCCGCAGGGCCGGGCCCGCGCGGCCTATGGCGCACAGGCCTGGGGCGGGAGCCGGGTTTACTCCCGCTCCCGGAGAGCAGCTAGGCGGGCCTGCAGCTGAAGTGCTGCCGCTGCTAACATCTGAGATTCTGCCCTGCCCTGCCGCTGGCCCGGGCCAAGTACCGGGCCGCCAGACCCTGGAGCAGCTCCGGGCTGGGCTTACCCCGCAGCGGGTGGGGAGCTGAGCGGCACCTTCCCCCCACCCCATGGAATGGAGGCAGAGCAACCACCTCCGTTTTCTGGGTGGACCTGTGCTATTCTAGCCCAGACCCAGCGCAGCTGCCGATAGAGAGCTGCTCTCTCTATCGTGAACTGTTCCGGGCTGCCACCCGGCAGGAATCACATGACCACCTGCAGGCCCGGGCAAGATACTAACTCTTTCATTGCCTAGATGAGACTTGCGGACTGTTATAAATGAGAGACAAAAGTCTCGATATTCAGCAAAATTTAGATTGCTTTATTTGATATAGAAAGAGCAAGCAGCGCGCTGGGGAACGTGAGGGGTCACTGTCCACTCTACGCTCCACCGAACCTTGGTTTTCTTTATACCCTTTAAAGTTTGAGTTTTGCCTTTCTCCTAATCCTATCTCTCAGCAGGAAATGAGAAAATAATTCTAGTAAATAATTGCACCAGCAATTTAGCCAACACTAAAGCCACCATGACATAATTGGTGCATTGGCCAGGAAATTTAAAATTGGCTAATTAAAACCACTCCACAAAATTTGTGTTTCCACCCCGTTGAGCCAAAACCATGACAATTATTTACCATATACTATAAATATTTACTTCTAACAAACTGTCCTGAAGCCTCCACCTGATCCTAGCCCAGCTATTAGGGTTGGTGGCTTCATGGAACTCAGCAACATTATGCAGAAAGAAAATATGACCCGATTGTTCGGGAACAGAAAAGCTTTAATAATAGAAAACAGCAAAGTGCAAGCCAAAAAGCTGGTATTGAATGAACCAGGAAAGATGGTACAGGGAGGCTAATTCCATGCACGAGGGCAATGGCAAAAAGCTAGTGTTAGGGTATGGCAGGGGTATTTATAAACTTGGAGGTGGGGAGGAATTAGGGTGGCATTTAGGAAGGGGATCCAATAGAGAACGGCGATTAGGAATATTAAAATTTTTGCAGCAAAAACGAACCAATGACAACAAGGGAAACAGAGAACTTTCTGGCAATGATCAACATATGAAACTGGACAATTCTAGGGGTGATTTTTTTACTCACTCTTATTTTAAAGAGTTTTCCCACAGCCTTAAGCCGTGGTCATCTGTACTTTTATTGGAGCTAACCCTAACATTGCCCTTAATGTATTTTGTTGTAAATCTCATAAGTAAAAATAACGGTTACGGTGAGTAACCTGAATGACTGGAACTATGCTGTGAAGTTTACACAGATTTTTAACATTGGGTAACTGATGTTATGTGTATGTTGAAATACCATCTGTCACCTTCATTTCTGTTGAAATGCTTGCTAATGAAAACCTTAAGAAAATTAACTTCTTACAATTAAACCTCACTTGCCCTTCTTGATGAAGCATAGATTGGCTGGAACTGGGGCAGGAGAAAGCTTCAGACCCTCAGGCCTCTCCCAGGCCTTAGAGATTTTCACATTCAGGAACAGCTTTAAATAGTGCTGGCTAAGTCAAATGAAAATGTGGGGTTATATTTTGTTCTGTTCCACGAGGGGGGGTTTACAAAGCGAGTACATCCACTCTTGAAACTGCCCTTTCAGCTCTGTTGCTTTACTCCACAAGTTCTATTACATATTCTTTGATTGACAGAAACTGTATAAATGTTTAAGTGCCATGAATGAATTTTCATAGCATTTTTCTTTATGTGTGAGAAGGAATTGAATTTCTTGTTTTATAACATTTCTGGTCTCTTTGTGCTAAGGTTCTGTCATGGCTAGTTTTTGTAAAAAGAAAAACAGTGTAATTTTAAAATATAAAGCTTTAATACCTGAAAGAAATGGAGAGGGAAGAGTGCTTTTGATTTTGTGAGAGGAATTCCACATAGTCCAAAATACTGACGGCATTATAACAACTGTCATTGTTATGTAGTGCTGTGGGGTGTAGACAGGAGGTGAAACCATGACCTACTAGAAAATTTTGTATAAGGATCACATCACTTCTATAGGGGACTGGAAATGTAAGTGATGGCATAACTGGCACAGCTTGTACATTTTCAGCTAACGTAGCTGCACTTTCTATTTTGTTATTTCCTGAGAGTTCTGAAAAAATGATGGCCCTAGTTCTTCTCGAGGGCTTACAATTACTCTCACATTTCCATTCCTTAGTGTATCAGGACATCCATACAGGCTCTCAGGACACCTCTCAGAAACAGCAGTCTCCTGTAATTCCAGTTTACCAGATTTTAGACAACATGGAGCTGCCTTCCTTGTATACACTACTTGTGTACCTTTGTATGCTGATAAGTCATTAGAGGAATATAATTACATGCTGCTTACTCCAGGATCTTATCACAGCGTGTATTTTGTTAATAGGGAGACACCATATGCAAGCACCCATGCAGATGCTTGGTCTTTGTCTTTGAAACCAGGTTGTCATACTAATCTAGGCTCCTGTGATTTTTTTATTTCCTCTGTTGGGGATATTGTACCAAAATTGAGCTCTCCTTGAAGAATTATTAGATATATAAATGCTTTCTGACAGAAGAGTTGTTAGCTGCCACTGAACAACTTTTAATGTACTATATATGTCCTGGTGGCACAGAGTGCTGAGACTCTCTTCTGGATCTTTCCAAGTATTTTATAAAGGAAAAAATTGTGGCTCCAGTTAGATACATCCTATTTTTTCTCTTATGCTTTATTTGTTACTGAAGTTTGTACACATAGTTTATTCTTTCTCTTGCAGTTTCAAATGTTGTGCATTAACAGCCTAAGGCCTCCAGTACTTCTGGGTTTCCACTCTTCAGGAATAAGCACTCTGCTTATTTTTCCTGAGCCTTTGTGTTTTATATGTGCACAGCTTTCTTAAGTTGCTTGCTAATAATTCCCCAAACTGGCTAGGGCTCTGTTTTCTCCCCTAATTACCACTACAGAGCATCAGTTTAAGTATTCTATCAAGCCTTTAAGAAAGGACTTAAAACATCCATCAATCCTATTCAGATTTGTTGTCTCTTCACATCAAAGACCCACTTGCTGACTGACACTTAAAAGCATAATGATGTTAGCTACAGGCATGTATGAAGTGACTGATAAGGAGCTAAGGAAAAGTGTTGGACTCTTTGTTCATCTGAAGTAGGTTGTGAGACACAGAAAATCATTATTTGTTTATGTGTGAGTGGGAAAGGTTGTTGGTGTAATACCGACTCTTTTAAGCTTTTTGCAATAAATTTTCTTCTGGTAGAGAGTGCAGTTTGATTGTGCTTTGACTGGCAGCGTTTTATTTTTATATTTGTAGCTTCTTAGCACAAGTATTTGCATAGAAAAAATCTGACGGAAGATCTCTGATAGTTAGTTGCTTGGGCCTTTCCAAGCTCCGAATGACAATTAAGCACCGAACTTACCAGAACAGAAACCACAGCAAATTAATTTATAACCACAAGTTTCACTTGTGTTCATCTTGACATTGATAATATATATTGTCCTTCATGCACTTAGGTCTCCATAGTTTTTGGTATCTGGCATGTAATACAATATGTTCATCCTAAGCAGAAACAGGGCATTGTTTAGCTGTACAGAATGAGACTGAGCACCATAGAATTCAGCACAGGTTTGTCACAGGGTGCAGCAGAGCTTGTAGAACTGAAGTTCTCGTTTTCCAGGTATTCTACACAGTCGCTCAGTGAATGGCTCAGTTGTTAATCATTTGAGGTTTTTAGAGTTTTAGCAAGCCTTGCCCTCAGGTTAGGAAGATTAAAGAAACTTCAGGAGATATACCTAAGCAGGAGTTTTAAGTCTTTAATAGGAATTTAAGTCTTAAATAGACAAAAAACTGGCTGAGCCATAACACAGGAGTGTCACTGCTGGTTTTGCTTAAGGCAGATGCTGTTATCAAAACAAGTAGAACCATTTCCTTAGAGGAAAAAGTCATCAGAGCCAGTGCCAATGAAAAGAGACTATAAGGAAGTGAATGATTTTTCACTAAAAACGATTTTATGTCTGTCTAGGTCCCATATTTATTAGTTAATCAGGATTACTTTAATTACCTTTAAATTAGGCTTTGATTTTTATGCTTTACAACATAAAAATCAGATTCTTACACTGAAAGAAAAATATTCAACCTACAAACAAGAAATGCCTCCTTTAGAATTCTTAAGAAATCTTTGGTGAGACCTAATAGGTAAAAATGGAAAATGTCCAATCTCTTTCCCTTTTTTTTTTTTAACATTAAGCCTTGTGATTTCAGAGGTAACAGTTTTGCAGGTATCAAAGATACTCTGTGTGGAGCCACAGTGCAAGTTGACCATTGCCATGTAAGCAGTGAATCGTCTATTATACAAAGACTTCACACTGTAAGGACATTGCAGCCTCCTCTTTTTTTACTTTTATT